AAAAAAACACCATGACAGTGGTTGACACCTAGTCCGTGTTCAACTTGACAACTGGTTTTGTGGGCGATGACCTTAGCATGCCTTAGTGTGAGCCTTAGTCCAGAGTCATGCACTCTTTCCTGACTGAACTTAGCCCTTTCCAAATTTGACTCTGAGAAGTGTGAGTGGTTGCAATGCAACTGAAGAAAACAGAGTATATATATCCAGAGCTGGCACTTTGTTTATTTTTTATAATATATTATATATTGTTGGACTGAACAGTAGTTTTTTGATGGTATGTTCAAAGAAACTCCAAAGTCCTGGATATTCCCAAAGACCTTGGCTATAGAAAATATTTATCCAGCCTGGAAGTATGAGTCCTGCATATGTGCAAGGACTGAAACTAAGTGCTCCACTGGTGTTGCCCCTCCCCCCCCAAAAAAAAGAAGCACCTGTTCGGTGCTACCCACCTATTCGGTGGAAAGTTAAAAAACATTGCCTTCTTGAAGTTGAAGATGTCTAGTTCCTTAGTGGCCTTAGTACTGCTTCATTCCTGACAGGGCCTGACAGACAGGTGCATCTCAAAACTGCTTCTTTTTACTTTCCAAATCAAACATATCAATACATTTACTCAAAGAAACTCACACAAAGCAAGATCATGGATGTAACATGCCAAACTACATTTAACCTAATTTACAATGTCTACATTTGTTTTGCTCACAAAGAAGTTGCTACAACCTAGATCAGACAACCTAGATCAGTAAAAACATATATGCCAAACTCTCTGACTGATGACTTGGTCCAATTTGCCTAGTGTCAGGCTTTAAGTAGCACGACCCCCCCCCCGCTGTTTTGGCTTGACACCTCAAATTTACATTGCTGCAAAGAAACACCATCATGAAGCAACTCAGGGTGTTCAGGAACTCCACCATAAGTTACAGATATGTGGTTTAAGACTCATAACAAGAAAAAATGAAACTATCACAATCAAAGACCAAACTATCACAATCAATGATCATGGGTTATGATGTGACTCTATATTACTCTATAGAAATAGAATGGTGCCCTCGGCCCTCCCTTACTTTGCGGTTGAAATGTCAGTCTATTGACTCTTCGGAATGTGGGACACGGGCGTTGATTGGCACAAAGACGTTTATCAGCACATTCATCCCCAACAATGTCGAATCTGAAGGACTCAGGGGCTTACCTCACGCAGCTTCCGAACAGACCCAAATAGTAGATATAATGAGTGTGTATATATATAGTATATAGAATGTAGCTCATAATAGGCCGTGAGGAGATGGAAAATGATGGAAAGACATTGACCTCCTTGTTTTGAAGGAGATTTACTTTCTATTCGGGCGATGTTGCCACCAGAGAAGCACCGTTTCATGGTTTTCGCATACACCAGCGGCGGCAGGAACCTATTGTGTTTGTCCCACAGTCTGTTCCACTGTGCAGTCTACGAAGTAGTGTGATCATCCCTGCTGGTGAGGTAGTAGACTTGCCATTTGGAAGTGGCTGTGGGCCAAAACATGTCAAGACTTGGCGGAACCATTTCTGGAACCATGCCCCGACCTCCGGGCGTGTTGTGTGTTTTCTTCTGGGCGGACACCGCTCAGGCTGGCCGTGGAGTTCGGCATCATCAAGAACAAGCCACTTGGGCCGCCGGGCTCGGTCGATTCGCCCCCACTCCATGTGAGAATCTCCTCGGCGGAGTGCCCGGAACCGGGTCCTTGGATATGGAAGGCATGGCACAACAGGAAAACAGGTGTGCATCTAGTTCAGTTAAGTGGCTTCGATGTTATCAACGCGTCGGGGTGCTTCAGGGAACTATGCCAAATTGCAGGCAAAGAGGCCGTCCAGTGTTGGATTTTGTTTGGCCACCTGACTCGGTCTCTGCATCGGTCTGGCGTGTCCTTTCGGAGCTCCAGCGGTTTTGGATTAAACAAATCAAGAAAGTTCCAAAGGACTCAAGAAGAATTGTACAGCCCAGACGCGACCCTGGACCCTCTCAGTAGGGGACCCCCAAATCAGGGACCGGTCGGCCTATGTGGAGCGTCGTGGGAGGACCAACTGTTCAGACTTGGTTTGCTGATCCGTTGGCCCCAGGACGACCGGTAAGACGGTCACCGCTGGTAGAGGAGATGTTTGGTATATATATATATATAATAACTACGAATGTAGGCCGTAGGAATTCGATGTCGGGATCCCAGCATCCCTGATCTTCCAAAAGTCTCTATTTAGAGGTTCCACCCTTATTTAAAGACTATAGTCTTTATTTTTTCAATGAAAAACCTCTAAATAAGGTCTATAGACTCTAATTAGAGGTTAAACCCCTTAAAATAGAGAAGGTACCTCCTCTATTTAAAGCTTTAAGCTTTAAATTAGAGACTATAGTCCTTATTTAAGGGATGTTCCAAAAGCCCTTATTTAAGGGATGTTGACTGGCAAGAGAAACGACATATTTTCCATGTTAGAGTCCACTTCAGAGCTCCGGCACATCGTGCTGTGCAGCAAAACGGTCAAACACAGAGAGCCCCACTGCTTTTGCAGTGCTTCCCCCACCTCTGCGCTCGGCCAAGAGTGCAATCCTACCGCCCCATGACTCCTCAGTGTATGTCCAGAAGGCAGACGGCGGAGTGCTAGTCTGGACAAGTTCGAGAAAGGCGTGCAGCTTTGGCTTGGCCGGAAAAGTCTTCCAGCCATGAGCCGCGGAGTAATCACCCAGCACGACATAGAGAAGGGCGAAGCGCAGGGCAGCCTGTTCTAGAAGTTCTCTGTGAAAGGCCTCTTTGCTCAGCTGCTGGTAGCAGACCTGCAACTGCAGGGCGGCTGCTGCTGCAGTGGCGGCCGCAGGCTGTGTGTGGTCGAAGAGCTCGTTTGTGACCTCGACCGCGAAATCAATGAGGTCCCTAGCTTCACCGGCTTTCGCCCGCAAGCGGGCATAGGCGCCAGGCTGCTTCCAGATCATTGTGGGCTTGAGCTCCAGCAAGCAAGAAGTCTTGCAGGCTCTCTTGTAGTAGGCCTTCATACGCAAGTGTAGAGCGCTGCACTTTTGCGCTTGGTTGCCCTCGAGGTAATCGCAGGCCCAAGCCAAGATGCCCCCTAAGAATTCCAAGGAGATGCCCAAGTCAGTGGTGTGGAGCCAATCCATTTGGAAGGTTTCGGTGGTGACAAATGGAATGTTGAAGGCTGGAGAAATCGATTTCCCATCAGCCACCATCCTGACCAAGAGATCAGCATGGCAGAGGCGGTGGCTGGGCTGTCGCCAGTCGGAGTTGGAGGCCACTTCGCGAATGCGGTCTGGCGTCATATCACATCGATAGCAGCAGCCAGTTTTGTCGCGCCAGCCAGGGAAGCGAAAGACAGACTTGAGGGCTGACCAATCACCTTTGATTTCCAGCAGCACCCCACGGGGCAAAGGCATGGCAGAGCCCAAAGCCTTCTTCCTCCAGGCATCGGTGTCGTCAAATGGCTTTCCGTCTGATCTGGTCTGAGGCCAACAGCCAGTGGCCAACTCTTTCATGAAAGTGGCCAACTCTTTCGCTTTAAGTGGTCCACAAAGTTGCCACCGTAGAAGACATACATGAACTTATTCAACTCTTTCTCCTCAGGGTGCTCTTTCTTCTCGGCTTTGAAGGCAAACTTCTCGACCGACTCAGCAATTAGGTGCTGCACCAGAGAATCCTTGCGCTCAAAGGTCATCGAGTCCGGCTGGAAGGCGTTCATCTCCAAAATCTGGTTCCTGGCAGGGCAGCAAACAAAAAATGTTCTTTTCTGTCTTGGGGGTGGGGACCGCTGTGGGAGTTTAGTTTCAAAAGAGTCCTTGTAAAAAAACCTTCGCGCAGCTTGTCACGGGACTCCGTAGCATCCGTGTGTTGGTTCTCCACACTCATGAGCCACTGGGTATTGTTCTTGCCGCCAGCAGCTTCGAACTCTTTGAGCAGGCCCTCCTTTTCAGCCGCGGTCTTGCTCCAGTACATGTCCAAAAACTGCTGAGCCTGTGACTTCTTCTCTGCATCCTTGGAGTGGTTGGCCCTGTACTTCATGAGGTTCAAGACACGCTGCTGAAGCTGCATCTTCTCTGCAGCACTGGAGACGGTTTCTACCTCCAAGGCCTCAGTCGACTTGCCCCTTTTCAATTTAGCCCCAGCAGCAGGCTCTGCCTTGGCCTTGGCTTTAGCAGCAGCTTTGCCAGCAGCAGGCTTTTTGGGCGCAGCAGCCTTGCCAGCAGCAGGCTTCTTGGGCGCAGCAGCCTTGCTCGCACCAGCCATGGCAAGGACAAGTGGTACTCAAGACAAGTGGCCTCACAGACAGGGAGCTACTCAGGGGTGGAAAAGCTGAGAGCAGCGCCAAGCAAGAGCTGCAGCTCATCTCTCTCCCTTTGTCTCAAAAAAAAGAGAGAGCGCATCGCACTTGCCATCCTGTACGGTGCTCCCAAAAACCGGCAAAAGACAGACAAACACATCGACCCAGCAAGAGAAGAACAAGAAAGGGGACAGGAAGGAGAAACAAACCGGAAGGACAAGATGTGCAATATGTTATGTCCTCAGGTCCTGACTCACAAAGAGCAAAGGACGCCAAGGTCTAGCCCCACCAGTCCAATGAACAAACATCTACTCCAAAGTCTGGGAAACAGACATTGAGCAGAAAGCCTGCGCAGCAAAAATTTTCAAATTTGAAAAAAAAAATTCAAAAATGTTCCTTTTAATATTAAATTAAAAGGTAGACTTTTGAAAAAAAAAATCAAATTTGAAAATTTTGGTGGGTGTGCGTGTGTGTGTGTTGGTGTTGCGCGCACAACTGCTCCAAAACTCACAACTCGAGTTTGCTTCCAAAGCCACAACCGTTGAACTCCTATCTGTTTGTTTAACAAAGGAAACATTGCCAAATCCAAAGCCACTCAGCTGGCATATTTTTCCTGGCTACAGGATTGGTCGCTGTGACCGGTATGGATTCAGGGCATCTCCTGGCCCACTATACTTATAGGTGCCTCTGGTGAGTAGGGTCTGGGATCCAAACATATATACCAACCCTTAAAAAACAAACCCTTGCACTTAACAGGTGGTTATATATATATATATCTTCATTCATTTGAGGGGTTATACCCACAGACCCAAACATGTTCCAGTGCAGGCTCTAGGAGCTCAGGCGCCACTCTTGGATGTGGCGGAAAACAGCCAACGCGCGGAGCCACATGAGGCATGTGGTGCTCAAATCCGGGGACGCGTCCAGCTCAAGGTTCAACGGGTTCTGCGTGCGTGGAACGACTTCCCACTTGGCGTCAGCAGCAGCAGGCCGAATGTCCTCGAAGGTCTCATCGCTCTGTCCTGCACAGGGTCAGGTGTGCGAAACAAACAAACATGCATTCATTCAGGCCTGACTCCCAAGAGCAAAGGCCCAAAATCATGCGCAAAACACATGAGTTTAAACATATATTGTTTTTGGTTTTGGTGGCTTGCTCCTGACCCAGAAGGCAAAGGAGCAGGCCACCCATAGCTGCAAGAACTGTCAAGTCGGTCGAGAGTCCAGGGGGAGCTGTCCAAAGTCCGCTGCTTCCTTTGAACCCGGCATGCATGCATCGCACACTTTGAGCTGCTGCAAGTCGACTCACTCACTTCAGACCTTGCGCCTCTCTATACATCTAGGCCTCCTGACCTCCCTACGAAGCTAAGGATGCCGTGACTGCCCTGGTGCACTGCTGAACCGTGTGCGCGCGCGCGTATGTTGTGCTGTGCGCGGGGAAGCGACATGAACAGGACGAGATACAGAGGGGTCGACAATCGGGGAAAGAGACAAGACCAAACAACAAGACCAAACAAAACACAAATCTCCCCCAAAACAAATTTTGCTTTTGGTTCGCAGCTGTGCAATCAAAGAAGGCCCCGCTTCCGCCAACACGACGGAGTGCAGCCCCTGCGATTTCTGCAGGTTCCACAGCCTTTGGGCCGGAGCTTCTGTCGCTCCGTCCCTAGCATGGTTTTGCCTGTCTTTTCATTGTACAAATCTGGCAGAGGCGACAAGCTTTCCTCCGAATTGGCCTCCCCCTCAGATGCCAGGGCTGCAGCAGCAGGCGCGGCTGCGGGTCGCTTCTGCGCGGGTCTCTTCTTTGGGGCCGAGGCCGGCTTTTTGCGGGTTGCCAAATCCTCCAACAAAGTAGGGCATTCAGTTTCTTCTTGGGCGCCGTCTCGCCAAGTTGCCACTAGGAACCCATTGCTCCCAGCGCTCATCTTAGCTTCCTCCCGACGCCCACCCGGATGCATGCGCACTGCCACACGCTTCTCCCACTCAAAGAAATGCGCCACAGTCGCTCCCTCTTTCAAATCCGGCGCTGAGCTCGCCACTGTCAAACGTGGAGCCAAGCGCCTGACTTTCTTTGGCGGTGACACACCCATGGCAGCAAACACATCCTGTTGGAGAATGCCCGCATTGTCCGAGCTGGTTGTGTCTGGCCTATAGCGCCTGCGCTTGAGGACGCGGCAGTTCCTGACGCCACCGGCAACGGTGTCGCAGAGGATCTGCCCAGGTCGCGCAATCGCTTCACCACACGGAGAACAGAAGCTGCGGTCTTTGCCCCTGACGTCACAGATTTGGCCTTCGTCCTGCACTCTTTGAATGCCTTGTGCAACTGCTGGGCAAACATGGCCTTCTCAGAAGCCTGCACTCCAGTGAATGCTAGCTTGGCAGCAGCTTCCAAGGCTGAACGGTTGGGTCGCTCTGTCAAAGCAAGGATGTCCAACATGAGTTCTTCGTATTCTGTCACCACATCTTCATAGTTGCTCGCCCTGTATTTCTCCTCGTCCAAGTGGCCCACATGCAGGCGCATCAGCCTGCATAGCTCCGCTGCGCTTGCTGTGTTGCGCGCGCGGCCGCCGCTCATGGCTGCCTCAAAAAAAATGGTGCTATATCCAGGCGGCAGCGACTGAGTGGGCACGCACAGAAGCTCACTGCATTTCAGGTCATTGCAAGCACTCATGTGGACTCTTTCAAATGAAAACCCCTTAAATTAATTAAAGACTATAGTCCTTAAATAAGGTTGATAGAAAACCCTTTAAATTAAAATAGAGACTTTTGGAAGATCAGGGATGGGATGGATCATGGATCGGCGAAGGTCGGAGCGAGCGGTCATGACGCCAGGAAAGGTGATCAATACCTGGCATATAACTTGACTTTGCCAGGCCGGTGGCGTCACTCGGGGGGGCGGCTTTAGGCTTTGGCGCTCGGCCCTGGGTCGGTCGGTGCTGGTCAAGTAGGTGTACCTGCATGGCGTTCCGTGGCCGGCAAGGCAAAAGGGGGTTCTGCTTGTTGGGTTCGGAACTGGCATGGAATCGAAGGAACACCCAGGAGGAACCGCGTCGCCAGGAGGAACACCCATCACGATGGAGACTTTGGAACATCGCCAGCCCGAGGGCGGTTCGGGGGCTCAGCTGGAACCGTTCTTCGGTTTCACAGGGTGAGCATTTTGACGGACGAAACGTGTGGCCGAAGTTCCGAACTGACAGCATTTGGTGAGAAGCAAGTGTCGTTTGTGGCACCTGGCACCATGTCGGTATTTGGATGAGCCCAACCTGCGTCGATTTTGCTGAAAGGAGTTGTTTCATGTTGTTTCATCTAATCCCAGGGCCAGGGCAGATCCAAACCACCAATCAACATGTTCGGATTCGCTGAGACTTCAGCAACTCTACCGGCGGCCAGTGGTCATGTTGAATTGTCTGGTCAGACCTTGCGCAAAAGAATTTGTTGCGCTCCTTAGGGAACTGTTGAAATACATCACCTAAAGCTAAGCTTTTACGCACCATGCCAATTCTTGGCTCAAGCACGCAGCTCATCGCGACAAAAAGGAGCGCTAGCAGTTGCAGCTTAGCGGAATTTGACTGTATTTTAGTGGTTGAGCCTGAAAATACAGGTTATCAGCCGTAACCTCTGCCATGGCTACAGACGATGGTGTGAATGCCGCGCTCGCCCTCATCCCATACGCCGGCGATGCTACACAGGCCGCCGGGGGCAACCTCGTGCCCGAAGACGTTGTCATGGGATCTGAAGGCGTCACAGCATATTTCCAGTTCATTCAGAACAATGTTCACCAGATTGCCTCAGGGAATGAGGAAGCCGTTCGCTTCGAAGCAGAGCAAAGGCATCGAGAGATCATGCAATCCACGATTCAAGCCTTAGTCTCGCAATGTAGGATTGCAATCGATCAGGCAAGGGAAGTCTGCAACAAGCAGATTCTGGCCATGCAAGGTCGAATCAACTTACTAGAAGGACAGTTGGCTGAAAGTCAGGCCAAGGTCGCTAGTGCAGATAGTCTACATCAAAAGAGAATGTCGGAGCAGAAGGCAGAAGCAGAGAAACTTCACATACAGAAGATGAACGATAAGATGAGGGAGCTGGAATCTATGTTCGAGAAAATGGTAGAGGATGCATCTAACAAAGCTAGAGCACTCCTTGAAGAAGAACGTAGGCAACACCAAAGTATGGAGACCGAGTGGACTGAGCAGAAAGAACGTCTTGAACAGGAATTGCAAAAGGCATCAGAGACCAATGCACTACTGCAAGACCAACTCGACGGATTGATCCCTGGGCATGAAGCTGAAGCGCCGCAACACCTGCCTGGTACAGCAACGCCAGTGCTGTCTGAACCAGCAGGCCGCGAGGCTTTGCCCCAGCCGATAGAGATCGATTGGAAGGCAAGGCTAGACGCGAAGTTTGCCCAGAAACTTGGTGATTTCTATCCATCGAGAGCGACTGCGACAGCACCACTCCCTGCAGCGTCGGAGCCTGCCCAAGGCAAGGACGAACAATTCGTCGATGCTCGTGAAACGGCCGACGAACGTATGTCTCACGTTGGCGACGGAGGAGTCGATGGCAAAGTCCCGGCTTCTTCAGGTGATGCCACCGCGCTGATGAGTGGTCTCGCGGAACTACTCAGAGAAATGAAGTCCAAGAAAGACGATGAAGGCAAGCCAAGGGTCAAAGAAGCCGATGCGATTGCTATACCGGACATGCCCACGCCTGAGACTTACCGTCAGTGGAAGAATCTGGTCCGTGAGCTCGTTCGATCGTCGTCCGACAAGCCCGATGAAGCATGGGAGTGGATAATGGAGGTTTGGGATCCAAAACCCTCACGCGCTGAACTCGAGGCAAAGCTCCAAAACCCAGGAAAGTTCGTGACCTTGGACACGAAGCTCACCGCTGCTCTCACCAAGTCAGTCCCCGGCGACCTGGGAAATAGAATCCTTAACCATAAGGAAGAGCAAGCGAAGAAAGGAAATCAAACCAGGGGTCGAACAGTACTTCTCATGTTTGATGACTACTTCAAAACGTCTGAGGAAGCAGGTACTCTCTACTCACTAGAAGACCTTTTAAAGGTAGCGAAGTTTGGAGATACAATTGCTGACCTCAAGAAATTCATCAATCGCTGGGATGCTGTGTTGGCCGGTATGAAGAAGGAGCCCGAAGAAACAGTCCTTCGTGATGTTTTGCTCCGTCAGATCCGTCCCAGCACGCTACTCAAGTATGACATTGACACCTATGATCGGGCAAAGGAAGGTGATCCAAGTAAAACGTATTCGTTCCTTGTGAAAGCCATCCGAGACCTGATCGATCGCGAAAGGCTTAGGGAGAATCGAGATCGAATCGTCGACAAGAATCAGCCAAAGCCGAACAATCCCAAGGACAGGGCAGGATTGCCCGTTGTGCCCCCAGCCAAGAGGGAGAAGACACCCCCAAGGGGAAGAACTCCTGACAAAAAGAAGATTCCATGCAGGGACTTCGCAAAAGGGAAGTGCGCAAAGGGAAAGGACTGCCTATATCGCCACGACAAGAAGGATAGGTCACCTTCGAGGCAAAGAACGCCTCGTGCACCTAGTCGTGACCCGAAGAAAAAGATCAACAAAGAGGAGATGGCAAAGACCCCATGCATTTACTTTGCACGTGGGGATTGCCGCCGTGGGGACAAGTGTCTGTACCTGCATGAAAGGAAGAGTGCAGCTGCTCCAAAGGACCCAGCTCGGCCGAATTCTCCGAAACCCAAGAAGGAGGCAAAGCCGAAAAAGTCGGCTACTCCCTGTGTTCGATCAAGCTATGCATGCAGCGCCACTCGCCGCAAGCTCGGTTCGCATCGAAGCCCAACAAAAGAAAGGGCAACACAGAATGAGAAACATGTCACCTTCGATAAAAGGGTAGCAGTAAAGAAGATAAATGCTCATGGTCGATGCAACCCAGTTATCCATCGTCCCAGGGAGTACGACAACGTCCTCACTACTGCCGAAGCAGCAAAGAAGATGGATCCAATCCATGTGTTGAATGCCAAACAGCAGCCAGAAAACTGCAAGAGACGGTAAAGCAGTTCGGGAACTCGGTTCAACCATCATGTGGTTTCAATTGTGTTGATGACCTTGAAAGTCTGACTTGCAAGTGTTGTAGAAATCTGCTAGCACCATGCAAGATCAATACTGTGTTGATGCCACCAGTCCTCGCTACGCCTGCGCCAAAAGGTCGCCATCAATGGCTCATCGACTCTGGAAGTGAGCAGGACCTGATCAGTGAGTCCATGTTGTCCCAAGTCGGAGCTTACAATAGGCGGAGCACAAACCAACCGATCAGCTTTATCACCGCAAACGGTTCAACACAGTCCAATGCGGTCGCTGAAATCGATCTCAACACATTGCCAGGGTCCATCACTCCATACATATTAGAGCAAACACCGTCGGTCCTTTCGGTTGGCGCAAGATGCATGGACCAGGGGTACAGCTTTGTTTGGCCGGCAGGGTCGTCACCGTTCCTCGTTCGACCAGACGGGAAAGCAGTCGTCCTGAAAGTTGACGGTCATGTTCCCATTTTGGATGATTCATGTCCTGTCGTCAGCACAAAGTCCTTCAAGCCAGCCAAGGTTCGCAAGCTTTTAGCTTTGCCCGGTGTTTCGAAGCCCATCAGGGATGAAGAAGAAGGGATTGATGAAGGAGTGAACCCAGACGACGAAGAAGTGGTAGCGGTGAGGAGCCGAAAGTCAGCCGACCTCATCGTCGAAGCCCAGTCGTCGAAGCACCAATTTCTTCACTTCCCCAAGAACCCATTTTGCCGCACGTGCCAAAGAGCACGCATGCTTGCACCTTATGCCAGGTCCAAAGGCGGACAAGCGAGGGTTGACACAACTCGGTTCGGAGACCATATCATTGCCGATCACGTGCTCATCAAAGCAAACGTAGAAGAAGGCATAAAAGGTGAGAAGGTCGCGTTAGTCATCAAAGACATTCACACGCAGTTCCGGTATGTGTACCCAAGCCAATCTCGATTTGCCGAAGATTGCACCTTTGCCATCAACCACTTCGTCAATGGAAAGGATGAGGTTGAAGTGATCTACACGGACAATAGTCGGGAATTGAAGGCCGCCATCAAGGAACTTGGCTATAGGCATCAAACGTCAATAGAGTACGTGGACTCCAGCAAGTCGTTCGTGGAACGCGAAATACGACAAATGCTGGAAGGGGCTCGGTCCAACCTTGTGCAAGCAGGGATGCCTTTGTGCATGCGGCCGATGGCGATGCAGCATTTTGCCATAGCCGTCAATGCTAACCCGCAGTTGTCAGGGGGGGGACAGCCCATGGTCGTTGAGGTTTGGTACGGAGTTCGACGGGATGTGCATTCCTTTCGGTGCCAAAGTGTTATTCTGGAACAACCCTGATAGGGCAGACAACACTGCAGGCAAGCTTTCACCAACCTCAAATGAAGGAGTATTTCTAGGGTATCACATTCAGCCAGGTTTTGTGTGGAGAGGGGAGTATCTCGTCACGAAGCTTGAAGCCATTGACTATCATTTGGAGCATGGCAGCGTTGTCATTCAACGCACCAAGCGATTGGAGTTGCCCTCTGAAACCCATGTGTTTCCGCTGAAAGCAAAAGCTGACAGCCTTGAGCCACCTCCAGAACCAATTGCTGATCGTGTGATCCCTCCTGTACCTGATCCGATCATTCCACAACAATCCGATTTGGAGTATACACCATCTATCGCACCTGACCCTGTAGTGGAATCTGCCCAGGAGAAGGAGCTGCCAGTTGACGTCGAGATGAAGAAGTCCAGTGCTGAGCCTCGCGAACCTGGGGAGACTATGCCCGACGGGTCGATCGTGCCGGATGGTTACCACTATGACGGAGTAAGGCTTGTAAAGACCTACAAAGGTTCGAAGCGGCCACGAAGCATCCCTTCGGAACTCTGGAAAATGATGGGTCCGAGACAAAGGGAGAAAGCAATTCGTGAGGAAGAACAAAAGAAAGGCGAAGGAGTCACCAGTTCCTCATCAAAAGCCGCATCGATGCTCCGGTCATTTGGTAGCCAATGGGAGGTGCTCCCAGCAAGAAAGAAGGTATTGATGGATGAGTCGTTCGCAGTTCCCTGCATGCCCACCCTAAGTCTG